TCTGTAATTGTATGTCTCTGTTGATGTTGTATTTGTTGAAAATGGTTGTAAACTTGCATAAAACTTTAGGAGTAGTAGTGAGACGTATGTACACAGAATTTCTCTCGTTTTTTTTCACTACTTGCTCACATAGTTAGTAGTGCACACACACACACAAACACACACAACGAACACGAGCAGATCAGTGGAATACGCTGGATGTTTTAGCACGAATTTGTTTTGATTCTGGAGTTCGCAAGGTAAGTTGTCATCAACGGCGATAACAGAGACACAACTGTGAATCATTTAATGAGAGATTATCTTGCCATGGAAGAAGAAAAGGAGTCGTTCAATCAGATATTTTTATCTTCGTATCAATCTTAATAACAAGTCTACATACATAATATTCTCCTTCAACTGATAAGAATTTCTTTTTGGCCTGTTTTCTTTTCATTCGTCAATCAGGAAAGTCCATCTTTAAAGAAAAAAATACGCATTTCTTTTTTTGACGAATCATATAACGAGATTTTTTTTGCATATTAAAAAAGACTGTTCGTGTCTGAGTCTTAGCCTTTGCTTTTTTTTCACCTCTTCTCTCGTCATTTACACAGATAAGAAATCAAACCCTCCCGTCTTCGTCTCTTGTACGTTTTTTTTCTCCTATTCTGCTGCTTGACTCAGGTTTTTCTTGACAATCCATTGTAACTTGACTGCACACTATAGTGACGACATTTTTAGACGAAATAGCACGTACTCTCGATTTCTTTTCTTTTCTCCTTCTCCCTTTCTTTTTTTTTCTTGTCTGCAATGGTTAAAAGTGTGCAAGCAATGAGAAGAACTGATTCGTCCGTTGAATAGCTGAATTATATTAAAAGCGGGCGCTTATGTGCAGCAAAATGTCGCTGAATAGAGGAAAAAAGAAGAAGAGGAGAAGAGCTTTTGATCGTGCTACACGACTACTAACGTCGATAGAAGAAAAAAAAGAACACGATAGAGAGAAAGAGAGAAAAAGGAGAGAATAGAAAGCAGACTTTTTACTTGAGGGATTCATTTCCGTTTTTCTCTCTTTGCTCGACGGGGATTCGTCGCATTGGTTGTTGTTGCCGTCATCGTTCTCATCGAAAAGATTTGTTTGTATTCGAATTGACGTTGTCTACAATACACGCGGACAAGCAAGCTATCCTTTAACTTTTAAATGATGATCAAATAGTGGTCGAGACAACGACAACGATCACCACTATCCATCAATCCAAGCACTTATTGACTTTGTGTGTGTTCTCTCTTTTTTTCCACGCCAAACGAGAAGAGAAAAAGAAGAAAAAAAAATAAAAATCAAACAAAAGAAAACAGAATTCAGAGAAGAACAAGAATCAAAATGCACAATCATCATACTAGTGTCGGAGATGAATCGACATCATCTTCATCAAATACTACCACACCAGAATTCAAACCAGAAGTAAACGAACTCCTACAAATTCAACCACTCCCACCATCTTCATCATCCTTGTCGCAACAACAACAACAACAACAGCAACAGCAACAGAGGCATACAATTACAGAATCACAACATTTAGATTATGCAACTCTTGTACCTGTTCAATCACTTCCAACCACAAAAATTGAATTAGAAACACCGACAATGCATTATTACGACAATTCACAGCCCATTCCAGGATCGAGTTATATGCTAACCCAATCACCCTATGATGTGAACCATTCCGTTGAAAAATCCAATCTCGATCTGGTATCACGTCAACAGTCGTCGACGGCTACAACAACAACTGCACCGTCAGGAAATCGACGTGGTAATACACCATCAAAACCACCATATTCGTATATAAGTCTCATTACAATGGCAATACAGCATGCACCATCCGGAATGGTAACGTTAAATGATATTTACACATTTATTATGAATGTATTTCCATACTATCGACAAAATCAACAACGTTGGCAGAATTCTATTCGTCATTCATTATCATTCAATGATTGTTTTGTTAAAGTTCCACGTGGACCTGATCGTCCCGGAAAAGGTTCATATTGGACATTGCATCCCGACGCTGGAAATATGTTCGAGAATGGTTGCTATTTGCGACGACAGAAACGTTTCAAATGCACAAAACAAGCATCAAAAGCTCGATCACGCGCAGCTAATAATGGACAACATCAACAATCTTCATCAGGTATTACATCGACAAATCTGAATAAAAACGATCCATTAGCATCAAACAGTGGTGAATCGGATGATGATGATGATGACGATGAAGATGAGGGTGAATCGATTGAAAATGGTAATGGAAGAGATGATGAACATCATCGATCGATGCTCATGGACAGTCAAGTTCACATGCCATTGACACGAACGTCAGCATCGACTCCGACGCATATATCACTGAATCATTCAACTCTCACAATAAATCATTTTACTGCACCTATACCAAAACTTTTATCAACAAGTGAAGATGCCTATCATCAACCAAACGGTAAAATTTCAATATAAAAGAATGAGCTTTTTAAAGACATGTCGAATGCATTTCTTTTCAGGCAACGGTGTTCTTATTTCTCCTTCATCTAAGCAGCATGAAACATGTCAATCAGTTCCTCGTTCTCCTCAAACTCAACATCATTCAACACATCATCACCCTCATCATCATCATTCCCATCCACTCTATTCCAACGAACAACAACAACAGCAACATTTCCTTTCGATGTCTCACACTCCTATTTATGCAAGTTTACAACCATTTTCAACAAATACAACATCAACAGACATGGTCTACTCGAATAACACTTCCGCATCAGCCAATTCAACCAATTATTATCCAGCAGAATCATCACCGGCATCGTCGACGACTTCACTTCATCCACAAGCATCATCATCCTACTATTTCAGCCAATTTCCTCCAACGTCGTCCTCACCAGTTATATGAAACAGCATTGTTGTCGACTATCAACAGCCGGTTTGGCTTTAGAGACATAGCAAGACAGCGACAAGCAAAAATACACATACATACATATACATATACATATATATATATATTTAGAAAAACCAAATCGACTAAGCAATACTGTGATGATGAGATGATGAAGAAGCGAGAATGAATGATAATCATTAAATATGTGTTTATGTGCGTGCGTGCATGTGTGTGTGTGTCTGTATGCGTCTCTATGTTTCTGTTCTAATTTATTCAGCTATGTCTTAGAATGTGTACAGTGGATTCTTTATATTCTACCTCATCGTTGTTCTTTATATTGCATCATTCATTCATGTTCTTATTTGAGTACGATATCAGTATACACTGCGTGAATATATATTGTAAAAGGCTCAAGTAATCACGAGATAGGGGGTATTTTTCAATTGATTGATACTCAATTGGTGCCAGTGGTGTTCCTTTCTCTCCCTTTAACCTCCGTTCTCTCCCCCTCCCTCTGTTTTCTTCTCATTTATGAAACGAAAAATGTTCTAGTGAAATTGACATGAACCTTACGGCGCTCTCCTCTGCTATTCAATTCATTCATTCATTTATTCCGCTACATACACACCGAATGACTGAAAAAAGAGACAGCCCAAAGCAAAAGAATCATGATTGAAAATTTCTTTTTCGTGCAGTCTTCACCGCTACTATTGTTCTCAATTGATCGAAGAAAGTACAACTTCGATATGGTCCGTTTTACAGCTAGTCTAATTATTGATCGGGTGACCTATTAGCTGCGAATAGGGCAAGTGTCAATCGTATATCATATAAAGACTGAACAATAAGAAAATTTATGTTCTGTTCTTTTCGAGTTCATCTCATATTATAATCATATCCATATTCAAATTTCACATTTCGCTTCTACTTTGTTTGTTTAGTACGAACACAAAGAAGGAACGAACTCATGCGACTTAATCATCTATATACACATGCTTGTTATTACTCACGACAGTAAATAACTATGTTGTACCGGAGCTTCTGTGCGCAAGAATTACACTTTACGAATTTGTCTACGGTTGAAAATGTAAGAGGTGCTTTATGTTGCGATATGATTGGATAGAAATATTTCACGTTGGAATGACTAACGAGAGTAAGGGAAACACTGCTTTTCCATTAGTCGATAGTTCAATTTTCATTCTACCTCCTTTTTTTTTCTTTTCTATGAGAATATGCCGAAGACATGCTTGCATCTATAATTGCCCCCTTCTTTTCCTTTCCACTCGATAGTAAAATGTGCTATAGTGTATATATATATATATATATATATATATATATACATGATTCGTGATAAGAACCGTAAGAATCTCCCTTTCTCTCGTGCTTCAAGATAAAACTTCGCCATTTCTTGCTTGTGAGCACATACTGCTCTTGAGAGGAGAGAACAGTTGTTTGATGATGATCATGCTTGTAAGAGAAATCATATCGGTCAGAGCATAATAAAAACAACCTTGTCGACGTTTGTGTCGTTCTTGTCTATACATTACAAGAAATCTATTAAATTTAGTGCAAAAGTAAAGTGGATTGATTCAAGTGTGCGTATGGCATATGAATTGCTATATCAAATCGATCGTCATATTTTACGTTTTCTCCGTCTCCTCTCTTCGATTTCATTCTCTCCTATTAAAAAACAACATCAATAGACAAGCATATGACAGCTTGGAGTATTCACTCTCTATCCTTTTAGGTTTGATAGGATTACTTGCTCATTTGGCATCTCCGATTTCGTCGCTGTTATCGTTGCTTTACGAATGTCATCGGATAGGCAAGCGTGCGACATATACATACGCTCTCTTGTCGATTGTTTGCGCAACGATTTAATAGGATTAATTTATCACAAGCTTTTATCAACGGTTATTCATAAGAACGGGAAAAGATTTATGAATCAGTCAGATTCAAAAAGAAAACGAAACGACACAGAATTCTTTTGATTATCCAATAGGAATTTCTCCGCTTTCATTCACAATTGAATGATGATTAGGTTAAAGGAGAACAACAACTTTTATTTGCAATATGACGCAGAATAAAGACGCACTGTATTCAAAAGATTATAGACTATTTTTTGTATATGGAAGATTTTCTTTGGTGGTAGATTTGCAGTTTGAATTTAAATCAAAGTGATCAGACAAATGTCGTTTGCGGCTTCTACAGAAGATTATCTTTCGAGCGAAAAGATTTCATAGATCAATTGAATACGGGAGAAATTCGCTTTCTAAGTTACTTCATCGTAGAATGATCATCATGTACCCCAAATTGATTACAAAATATCGAAATCTCAAGTTGCTGTATGATGACCTTACGCCACATGGGGTTTCTACTTGAGAATGGATTCGAAGTAAATAATAACCTGTTGATTGTACCAATGCGAAGGAAATTTTCTTCATGGAGGACAGGAGATATTGGGAATTCATTACGAACTTCTCTGAAAACCTAAGGAGAGTTATCGTATATTGCATCAGCAATCTAAATGCATACAGTTATGATATTATTTTTCATATGTAGATATGTTTCACTTGTTACTTATGCTTTATAAACATATAATTTTCATGATAATTATTACTAACTTTTATTTCTTCTTTGAATCTAGTTTTATCAATGTTTTAATCTGTTGTTTATAATTGGTGGACATTAGAATTTGAAAGCGCGCAACTGCATCGTAGTCGTTAAAAGATAGCTAACATGGGAATCGATTACTTGCTTTATCCATGTATTTTCATCAGATGAAAATCATGAGGGAATGAAGTAAGCATAGATTATCCTTATGAAAATTTTGGTCGAAAGGACGGAACTAGTTGTGTATGTATATTATCACAGAAATGTCTGATGAATTATATTTGAAATTAGATCAAAGTTGAAGGACATTGCGACTGTAAACTTTTTGCATATGTATAGATCAAAAGTGGAATTGGAGAATTTTTGTTTACTGTATAGTAATTGCATAGGAAGATATTTCTTGACGACGATGATGAAGAAAACAAGGTAGTGTAAAACATATTCGAATGAAATGGTGCGAGGAAGGGCAATGTGTTTCAAGGATTTTTCAAAGAAAAAATGTTTTAAATGAAAGTAGATAGAAAGTTATTGTTGATCTAGTTAAAGTAACGATCGAATGGATAGTCGAGTTTTGGAGAACCCAATGGTAAACACACAGAATTGATTGATGGATTATACTTCTTGAACAGTTCACGAGCAATTTGGATTGAATCACCTGAAGACAAGCAAAAGTCTTGTCGAAACGATTCAATAGATAGAGAAGCTCACCTTGGGTGCTTGTGGGATAAACTTTCGTATCCAACATGAAAAATGGCAATTCAGCTTCGAAAAACAAACGCTTGTGTAATAGATTCGTATCCACTGGAATGCCCTGTTGTACATGATTACATTATGAAATGAGAACAGTAAATGTAAAGATATCTCCTACTTCTAGAAGACACTTGACAAGAACGTCGAAGAAGACACGCCATCGAGGAGCATAATAACTGGCAAAAGAAAGATATATGTTTCATTTTATGTCTGAAATGAATGATATTGATTGTGTACATACTCTTCTATCATTCCAGACCAAAATTTATTCGCATAATCAAATAATCCTAGTGTATAATTAGTTCCCCAGATAGATACTTGAAGTTTAGCATTCAGGTTATAAAAATGAATATCTTCTTCATTTTTGGCAAACTGCAATGCATCTGCAATCCAATTGCCCAAGAGAAAACGACGATCAGATGCCAATATTCTCTCCATATCTTCTAAAAGATCCGTAAGAATAGCTGCTTGAGTCCTAAAGTTAGTATGTATGAAAAATAGTAAATAAAAAATCATTCATATAGATTCTTACGCTACTCCGTAAAGATCACTTCGATTGAAAGCAACAGTTAATTGTACAAATTGACAAGCGAATTCATATTGAAGAACTTCTTTAGTAATATCTACTAAATCATAGCGGAATAGATCCGCATCCAATTGATCCGATGAATTCACTAACAACTCCCATGCAGACAGCAGAACTTTCAAATCGAAACTAATCTGTTATATAACATCACTTTAGTCTCATTTATATAAACTTTTGCTGATACTCACACTTTGACTCCGATCAAGTGCTGGTCGACGTAACATCAATGAATAGGCACGATTAGGATTTAAATGATAAACTGAATTGCCTAAGTCTTGCCATGCGTACAGCGCAGAACTCGGAATTGCTTGGCTGCCGGAATATCGACGCATAACAAATCCGACTAACCTAAAATTTGTTTATGTAAAGGAGATCGAATTGAAATCGTCATACCAGTCGTTTAATTCGGTTTCGTTGAGTGGAGAACGCCATGATTGTTCAAGAGCAAATTCATACATGATTTCATTTTGATTAATACCTTCCATAGTAATACCAACACCAATCATTTGTTCTTCAGAGAAAGTTCTAGCTGCTTGCGGGCCCTACAAATCAAATCTTTTGACATTACACAACATAATCAAGCAAAATGCATACGTTTGTAACATTAACAAGAGAACCAAACAAACCATTGTTTCCGCCGAAGTCGTGTAGCATGTTCCATATGTAGTAATGTCCATAGAATGATTGAAAACGTGAATACTGAGGACGAGCTTCGGAGAAAAGATCCAATAGAATCATGTGACCCTGTTTCAATGTGAGGAAATATATATGTATGATAGATTAATGGTGACGGAGCAAGATGTCTCATACCGGAGGAACTTTACTGAGATAACTTTGTACACGAGCTGGTGTCCAAAATTCTGAAAGAAATAGCCAAGCTTGCATAACCCTATGGCAAAGCTAATATGATTCACATATCTTATACAAATCAAGACGTACCAGATAGCATTTGGATCAACTGTTTGCATTGATTTCATGATTCCTTCGTTAACATTGGCCAAATAACTCAGATCGCTAAGAGAAATATTCCGTGAACTGAGAATATTACGATAGTCAAATTCTACCTAAT